TGTAGAGAACGAAAGAGAGAAAGAGAGATTCGATGCTCTTCGTCAAATTATACGAAACTCGATGCGAGTTGTGTTTTACGTTCTCTTACCTCCTTATGAATTTATTAATTACCCTCCTACGTTTTTTCTCTCCTTTGCTTTTTATACAAGGTGTTCTTTTCGTCCAGCACTTTCCAGCGGGATGCCCGGTGTACATAAAAGAGAATAAAGAAAATAAGGAAGGAAGGAAGGAAAGGAAAAAAAATTGTCCGTTAATATATTAGGATCTCGTAATTGTCCAGAGATAAAGGACTTTTACAATTGGTATAATTGTGTGTTTAAAATGGTCACGGTACGATCGAGGACTCCCGATAAAAGAAAAAGTAGAGATCGAATAAGGCAGTAAATAAGAAAGGAAGTAAATCTCGGAGTTAGTCCGCTGTCATCGTTGATCGTATCGTCCCTTCTCCGAGACACGCCGGTCTCGAGTGATCGGCATTGTGAGAAGAACGAGGAGAACATGGTCTCGCGATCGGGCCCTCGCGAGCTTCTTCTCGTTATCGACGATCACGTTTTTCGAGGAAGAAACTGGCGCGCGGGCGCACTCTTCTCCGTACACCTGGTGCTACCAAAAGCACCGATCTCCGGCGCGGCACACACAATGGGACACGTACCACCACGGTGAGTAAAGGGTTGCAAGAAGACGAGAGTCTTCCGGGAAGCGATGAAAGAAGCTCGCTTCGTCTCGCTCTATCTCGTGGCAGCTTCTCCGTGTGGTCAGGTGTGCCACATCTCTCCATCTCTCTCGAAAGGTACGCTCGATTTTAACCGGGGTCAATATCGTCTCGACTTTTCTGTATCGGTCGATGTCGAAGGTCGTGGGATTTCTTCTTCGCGTCTCTTGCTCCGATCTTACGAGACCTACCGTGTCGAAGTAATAAAAAAGAAATGAAAAAAAAAAGAAAGAAAAAAGAAAAAATAAAACAAAATAATAATAATAATAATAATAATAATAAGAAGAAGAAGAAGAAGAAGAAGAAGAAGAAGGAGAAGGAGAAGGAGAAGAAGAAGAAGAAGGAGAAGAAAAACGAAACAAAAGGAAAACAAAGGAATACTTCCTTTTTATTTTAATATGGATAAAGACTTATTATTTAGGAATTATATTTCGGAATTCTTTCATTTATTATATCTATCGTAATTCCAAGAAACGGTAGATTTTTCAAAGAGGTCCAACTCTCGATCGAGTCCAGTCCCTTTTGTCGCTTGAAGAGGTTCGAAGATCAATGAAGTCGGGCTTTCCTTATTCCTTTTACTCTCCATTCACAATTCTCCAGGAATATCTTTTCTGGAATCGTATCCAGCTCGTTGTTCGAAAAGAGTAGGTCGTTTTGAAACGTTAATTTCACGCTGGAGTTAAACTAACTTTCAGTTTTCTTCGAAGAGAGAAAGAGAGCGGTGTTACGGTTGGTTCAACCAGAAAGAACGTTTCGATTTTCGCGCTGCTACCTTATGATCGTACGTACCCTCGAGTATAGGGAGAGGGGAGAATTCTTGCAAGAATCCACTTTCTTTCTCTCTCTCTCTCTCTCTCTCTCTCTCTCTCTCTCTCTTCCTTTCGGTCTCGACCCCCTTACCATTGTGTGTCGAAAAATTCTCCGTGGCCTGAGATCTCATTTTGCCGCGACGGAAGCTGCGACGTTACGATCTTTTGTCGTCGTTTTGGCCTTTTGCACTCTCCTCCGTGCTTTGCTTTCCTTTCGCAAAAGTTTTAAAGCACGCACGACGACCAAAAAACGCACACCTCTCGTACATTGGACTACGAGACTTACTTTATAATAGAAACTTTAGCCGAGAGTACAGACGTACCGCGACGCACCTGTTCGATCGGACCACTCGCCATAAAAGCCCAAGGATCGAGGTAGCTTTTGCTTCCACACTTTCTTGCTTCGTATTCGTTCGAGCCGGTATGTCGCGTACGTGGATACACATCGCTACCGCGGATTCGACTCGTCCGCTACTCGAAAAAACGAGAACACCTGTCGGTCAAACGGAGATATTTTCGAGCGTGCCTCGAATTCTCGATTTTTATGGCTCCGAAGGTATATATATATATATATATATATATATATATATATATATATATATATATTCGAGACAAATCGAATACCTTCGTGCAAAAATTCAATCTCCCGTTTACAAAAGAATTTCTCCGCATATAAATTTCCTATCATCTGTTCGCACGATACGATTAATACGCACGTATTTCCACTTCGATTTCTGCCACATTGATTTCTTACAATGCGACTGCCAAAGTCAGTTCTCTCTTTGAAAAATCAATGAGGCCCTGCGAGAGTCCGTTGGAAACCTAGTAGCTGCGGGAGCTGGAAAAGATGTAAAGGGGGAGATTTTGAAGGAACTCAGGAAGGAAAGGGAAGCCGAAAATCGATGAATCTCTCCTTTAACGTTTTCTCTTTTGCCAGAGACAAGTATGAGATCGTTCGTATTTTTTCAGGACGATTATGAAAATGGACATATAATTGTAAATTTATGTAAACGTTGTTTTGTAAAAACAGAAAGCGTACGATTTAAAATTGTTACAATTTTCCGATTTACCTTACTCAATAAGTATAACTGCGTTTCCACGAAATATTTGCCAATGGAGCCTGCGGATATTGCTAGTACCCATATGGACGAAAGATCGCAGAACAAAAAGGTTTCCCTTCTCTCCCCTCTCTTGACGAAAAGTCTGGCACGGCCGATTGAATCGGCAAATGCGCGCTAAATACGCGTGGGATTTAATACGCGGCGCAGGTAGCCCTGGCGTACGAACGATTCAATGCATTTCGTACTACCATTTCCACGCCATATGTTGTTTGCTTCGCTAAAAGTCCTTTGTGTGTCACGTTCTACGCTTTCTACGCGCCGTTATGAACGCGTGCGAGCGAGATAAATTCTAACGCGAAGGGATCTTCGAAACGATCCTCGAAGCGCGAGTAATCGAGCTTCGTCGATCTTCCTTTGGTTCGCGTGCCAAAATGTAACTATCGCGAGATTACGGTTTATTTTATGTTAAACTACCTGTCGTCGGTTGGTTTGCGTTGTAATTTTCATCGCATAATATGGGTAGCCGTTTACGACGTCCTGTCATCCTCTATCGATATTATTTTATGTACCAACAACATACGCTCCTCGCCACCCGGATAAATGTACGACCTTGCTTTATGCTGATAATAAATCTTATACGTGCATTAATGAGACTCGCCGAATTGTCTCGCCTATCGTTAAGTGCTAAACATATAAGTGAACGGATAAAAATTAAATGGAATTAAAAAATTTGATAAGAAATTAAAAAATACGATTTAAATCTTTCTCCTATGCTAGATAGATTGATAGATAGATAAATAAAATTTTGATTTATGCCAAACTATTTCATTAGTATTTCGAAGAAATCGATTCTAACGAGTTAACGTTATTGCAGGCGTATTATGTAGATCGAATCTCACGATCAATTAATAATGGTCTCGCGCTATTACGCCCCTTTCGATTCCAACGAACTCCGCGAATATACGCGAGTATCGTGCTCGGCCGTAACTCTCGTTGAAATTATTTAGCAACCAACTATAACCCGTCCCTTTCGAATAGATGTAATTATTCTGTTGCATACGCACGTGTCGTACAACGCGATAGATATTTTTAAACGTTCGCTGATCGTTCGCTCATCGAATCTCCGAATCAAATCGAATCGATTCGTCTCGATACGCAAATTCTCTTCCATTATGGACAATTGTATCTATCGACGAACAGCCTAAAGGCTTCCTCGAGAATCGAACAAAGTTTCCGTTTCTTTCGACGATATCCCATCTCTCTTTAACCTTGTGATCGTGAAATCCAATATTTTTCATATATGCATTATATTGAAAAACGACTCTATGTACGAGGAATGCTTTATTTATACTGAAAATGTATTTCTTTTTTTCGCGATAAACAATAATAACGTAGAATTTAATAATTGATCTTACGTGAATGGAGGAGATTGGAGGAAGAGGAGAAAATCGTTAAGAAAAAAAAGGAAATTATTTTCAAGTTAAAAATCCATATTATTTTATTTCGTATAAAATATCTCTATATATAGCCAATATCTATATCTCGATAGTAGTTTATTTTCTTTACAAAACTAGAAATAGTGGTACTCGCCTCGAGTCGCGCTCTATTAATTACAGGCACAAAGATTAACGAAACGACGACTCGTCTTTCAAGCATATACCGTGGTCTCTTTCGTCTTTTCACCTTTTACGGATGGAAAGAGAAACTTTCTATTTTTGTTTTCTCTCGTACGGCGAATAGCTCTCCTTCCTTCTAGTTACACATACTATATGATACAATGACTAGTTTCTTCGAGTAACTTATGAGTGAGCTGTGTGTGGCTTCGGACAAACGTAAGAATACAAAACGAAGAGAAGAGATGAACAAACAAAAAGAAAAAAAAAAAAAAAAAAAAAAAAAAGAAAGAAAAAAAGGAAATAAGATCAAAGGCCGACGGCGTCTGACACCGCCCGACGTCGGCCGTTGAATGATCCTTAACGTTCCGTTTACGCATATACGATATTTAATACTCGACATGCATCTTCCTCTTGTTGTCTTACGAACTAATCGTTGAACGCTTTATTATATACAGCGGAACGACGGCTTTTCATCGATGGCACTTTGGTGCGCTACTTAAGGACGAAACCAAAAAAAAATAAGATACTATTATTTTACGCGTATAAATTAATAACACCCCGCTTATGCACGCATTCTTCTCGACGAAGCAAAGAAATATGAGACACGGTCTTTTTTCCAAGCTTCTTTAATCGTCGACTATGTTTTATCGCGAGTGATCTCTGAAGATCCAATCGAACAAACGAAAAGACAATGTAAAGTAAGTGGAAAGATATAGAAAAGGAAAATATAATGGCACGACGACTTCACGGGACCGCGTCGAGCGGTAACTTTGAACGCTTTCTTCCCGTCTTTTTTTTTTCTTTTTTTTTTTCTCGTGGCCAAAGCAGAAGCGAGCTTTGACCAAGATTCCGTAAGAGAAAACAAGCGTACGCCGCTACCCTACGTACGGGCGCAACACCGATTATTCTTTTACACACGTACTCGTAATAATACTCTCACTCGTCGCATACACCCATCTTGAATATATTTACAACGCACAACGAATGACGATCGAAGAAGTTTCGAGGGGAAAACTACGCTCGAATCGAACTACAAAAAATACACGTGGGATCGTGTCGTCTTCGGCAATCGATTTCGGCTTTTCAAGTGCATTGCAAAGATTAGGCATCAAAAGAGAGGGAAAGAGGAAGAGAGAAAGAAAGAGAGAGAGAGAGAGAGAGAGAGAGAGGGAGAGAGACGAAATAGAGAAAGGAAAACTACGATCGTTGAAATACACGGCACGAAACCATTTGCCGACCGCTCGTTAAAGTCTCTCGGGACTTCGATTAAAATCCAAGTCGTGAAATCGAATCTTAATCGAAGCAAAGTTACATTCGTATTAACTTTTTAGATGACTCGTCTTTCGATTCGGCGTTTTTCCCAAAGAAGGCACTTTCAGAAGAAATAGAAAATGTAAAAAAGGACGAGCGCGCAAGAGTCTTTCCGTCGGTTCTTTTTTTTGCTTTTTTTTTCTTTTTTTTTCTTTTTTTTTTCTTTTTTTTTTTTTTAACGCGTCACGTGCTATCGCACTTTTTGTGAGACGCAGGAAACTCTCGGTCCACTCCAAATTTCCTCCATTGTCGATGGCACTTTAGCAACCGTATCCTATTGGAACGGGTACACCAGGACAACCGCCCTCCTGATGCTTCGTCAGCAGAGACATTCGACTGAACGTTTTGCTGCAGGACGTGCAAGAGTACTTCTTAACGTCGCTGTGAGTTTGTAGATGAGCCCTGAGATTGCTTCTGTCGGCGAACGCGCGATTGCAGTGCTGACAACTGAACGGCTTCTCTCCGGTGTGAGTCCTGATGTGTCCTTGAAGTAGCCATGGCCTCGAGAACGCCTTGCCGCAGAGATGACACTTGCATGGCAACGTGTGCGTTCGAATGTGCATTTTGAGAGCACCGAGGCTGACGTAAACCTTCTCGCAGTATTTGCAGGAGAAGGACTTTTTCGTTTGACCTTCCGCCGCGGCACAGTGAAACTGTTGATGCTTCGACAATCCGGAATACGTGGAATATGATTTTCCACAGTCTGGACACTGATATCTTGGCGATGTAGCGGAGGAGGAAGAAGAGAGTGACGTGGAGGAGCCACTCGTCGCGCTCTTCTCGATCTTAGCGTTCACAATCGTTGGGCCTGCTGATGTACTACCGGCGGAAGATCTACCACTGTCGCTTCCCGGGGAAGATAGGTCTTCGGGAGTGACCGGTGGAGGTGACCTAAGGGATCCCGATCCTAAGGAACTGGTAGGCGATAGACCGCAGTGATCGGGACTTGCCCAGTGAGCATAGCTCCTGGCGATCGGTCTCTGGATCGTCGGACAGGTCAGAGCGGCGTGTGGAGGCGGCGATACCGACGAATGATGTTCAGGCGAGGAATGTGGATAAGCTGGCATCGGATAGGACGGATAGAGTTCCGTGCCCGGATGATATCTGTAGGCCGCTGGATAGGGCAGATAGTGAGGTGGATAAAGAGGCGCGGAACGAGCCCATGCCGGTGTCGCGTAATGAGCAAGCGGCTCGACCGGAGTGTTCAGGTTCAATGGCTCCAAGGGCGCCTTGCTGGCCATGAAATGAAGCGGTGCCGTACTACTAGCAGAAACCGCGGCCGTAGCCGTAGCCGCCGTCGTCGTCGTAGCCGGTACCACAGTCGAAGAGGAACTTTCATGCTGTATAACTTCGACGCGAGCCTTCTTTGCAACAGGATGGATTGGTGCGATTCCGGCCGGCGGCGTGATTGCCTTTGTGGGATAATGATGGTGATGATGGAGATGATGCACCGGATAAAGATGATGGGGATGCAAATGTTCCGATGGCGAGACCGGCCTAGGTGCGATCACGGGAGAAGGTGGTTTTATCGGAGGTGACGGCGACCTTGACGGATACTCGCGTTGATGCGTCAACGGTTCCGACGATATCTGATGCTGCTGCAATTGCTGCTGCTGTTGCTGCTGCTGCTGCTGCTGCTGCTGCTGCTGCTGATGATGATGATGATGATGATGATTATGTTGTTGTTGTTGTTGTTGTTGCTGTTGTTGCGGTTGATTCGAATGACGTTCTGCATTTCTACTTAGATCTTCCGGTTTTGTGCTCAAATTTTCGGGCTCGGGAATATCGTCTACCACCACGTCAATGATCTCTTCTGAAGAAGAAACGAAAAAACACGCGTTTAAGCAAATGGATCGAAATATTCGGAGGAGCGAATGAAAAAGAAATAATTTTAATTTGCGAAATCACGATTTGTATGGAAATAATAAAATTAATGTTGATGTATTTTCGCACGAAAGAAAAAAAATGCGTTCAACGAGACTCACCTTTGATTACCTTCGGGATATCTTCATTGAGCAAGACGTGCACCGGCCGCTTCTTAAGCGGGCAGTGACTGTAGCTGTTGTTTTTCTTAACGAAGCTACGAGGCATCTCATCTATAAGCATATTTGGGCCTTCGAGAGCAACGATTACTGATAGATAATAGTTTTGCTCTTCGCAGGTAGTCGACACCGCGAAGGCACTGTCAGTGTTAATCCAATTTGTTGAGTAGCACGTAAACTCGAATTACTTCTTCTATCACACTATGTCGCGATGCGTTCATGAGTAGAAGACCAAATAAGGAAAAATTGCGAGAAATTATAAGAATAATCCTTGATAGCGTGATAATGTCACTGCACTATTTCACACACCAACTTCTCTCTTCCTCGTATGGCACTACGTTTTTTTTTCTATCTCGTTACGTGATTATTCGAACGAATGAAATGAATCGGACGATTAAAGAAAGAAAAATTGAAGAATGAATTAAGAACGAGTAACTAGACGATCGTGAAAACGGTTCGGCTGCGAGCCGGTCTCTGACTGGTAGGGGGTTCTCCAACATCTTTTATAAGAGGTCGCCCCACCAGGCAGGTGCAGGTGGCCCGCACGTGCTGCCGAACCAATGCGGGGCCAGGGGCCCCGTACAGCTCGCCAATGGGGGACGGCCAGTCGCGGGCCGTGAACCAATAGCGACGAAGCCATCTGTTCCGACAGCTCGTGCGTCCTTCCCCACTCTTTGAGCTAGCCGAGCTACGCTCCACGGACGGGAGGTGCAGGATATTTGTGAGCGCGACGCGATTGTCCCACTGCTGCGCTTCCCTCTCTTTTTTCCCTTCGTTCTTCTCTTTCCGCTCTCTTAGTGACCGCGTGCGCACGCGCGCGCTCACGAGATTTTTCTCGCGCGACACGACGCGACGCGAAACAGAGCAGATGCTGGGCCTCTTCTCTAAACGGCCACCCACCCTACCTCCCTCTCGCTGTCGTTGCTGTACGCGACTTTGCGCATTACGCCTTTTTCCATTCGAATTTCCGTTCGATTTACCTGGCCCCCCTACCTCTTTCTCTCTCTCCTTCTTCGTCCCTCTCTCTCTCTCTGGACTCTCAGGAGCATCGCACGTACCGTTTCTTTCGTCATACTCGAGCCTGATGCGTGTGCGTGCGAGGATACAGCGATCCGTTTCGTTCCCCTTGCTGAATTTCAGGCCTCCTTCCCCTCGTCGACCGGCAGCGTGCAGCGCCAGTTTCGAACGTAACGGTCGTGTCGCGTGCCGCAGCATCGCCCACGCGTGCTGAAACCCACACGTACGGGTGGATCCCCCTCTTGTTAGAAGGAGAGCGTGCCAGCGTCAACGAGCGCTCGCGCGCGCGCGCCTACTCGACCACGTTGGATTCACGAGCCCAGAGCACTGCCATTTTCGCGACCAAGAACGTTTGCTCTCTTCGTGATTTCGCCACGTGACCTAATACTTATTTATCTCCTCGAAAAAAAAAACTCAAGATTCATCTCCCTGTTTATGATTTTTCTTGTACGTTTCAGTCAAGTACAATTTGCTCTTACGAAAAATAGGAAAATTTCATGAAATATCACGCCTCGCGGATACGTCATTCACAGTTTTCCCTTTGAATAGTATATAGTCTTCAAAAGCATCGAGCAAAACATTGCGAGCCGTACAAAATTTATCCTAGATAATGTATCCCCAAAAGAAAGTTCCTATCGCAGCACGTACATTTCAATAATATTGAGATTTTCCTTTTTATCCTTCTTCGATTGGCAACGAAGCGGGTTATCACAGTGAAACGAGATCATTCGAATCGGCCGATCGTGAAACGATAACCACCGGGAGACCGGTACGACGACGGGGCATTAAGAAAGGCACGACTAAAAAGATTTTTGACGAAGGACCCTTGTACTTGTCGTCGTAAACAGCTCGTTCGCGTAACACTTTATATTCTTTGGACTAGTTTCCAATGCGCGCGGTTGCGCGCACACGAGAGAGACCGCCCGATCATTTCGTCCGATCGTTTCGTAATAAAGGAGAAACAAAGAGACAGCTACCGAAGCCCGCGACATGCTCTACGACAATTTTATGATAATACCTTTTGTAACTCTATATTCCTTGTTCGACGCGATCGAATGAACGACGCTCCGTCGACAATTCGACGTTTATCCCGTATTAATTAAGAAACTAGTCGCGATTTATAACACCCTCCTGTAGGTAGCTATAAAAGCGTAACGCGTTTACGCGCCCATAAAGATCATTTTACGTATACGTTTTCCTCGCGAAAACGACGCGGGGATCCACGGCCGAATTCCAACGACTTTGATATACCTGCCGCTTTCCGACTGGCCTACATTTTATTAACGTCGTAACTTATTCTCTGCGTGTGTGCGAGATCGTACATAAAAATATTCTTCCTTCCCGAAGGAAGAAGGGATAGAGGATCGATCTCACCGACGTCGCCGTGGATCTTTCTTTTCCTTCTCATAATTCGCCACTTGCGAAGCGTCCAACCAAAGCAAAGAAGGAAGGAAGGAGCGAATCTTCGGTTATACGCGCGATCTCTCTCTCTCTCTCTCTCTCTCTCTATCTAATTTTAAAAAAGAAGAGGAGAAAGGATGAATCGTGCACCGGTCGCTAGTCGACGAATAATCTACCTGCCTTGCATGCTTGAAAGTACGCTCTTAAGAAAGGTACCTTTCGTAGCAGCTATCTGTCTCTTCTACTAGGCATACTATGCAAGTATCTACCTACCTACCTACCTACCTACCTACCTACCTACCGTATATCCCTATCCTCGCGCGCTCGCGCTTGATCCGTCGAAAAATATTCCGAGGGAGAGAACGAAGAGTACCGAAATAAGAGGGAGAACCGCAAAGAGAGAAAAGGGGAAAGAGAGGGGGACGAAGCAGACGACGGAGAGACCTGCATCTCATCCGGTTATTCCGGTAAGCTACCACTGGTTCCGGTGAGCTATTCCGTTTCTTTCTTCCTTCGTTCTCTCTTCATCGCGAAAAAAAAAAAAGAAGGAAAGAGAAAAAGAGAAGTGGCCTCGAAAGGTGCTCCTAAATTATACCAAATGTTGGGCGCGTTAACTCGCCTTGCCTTTTGTTTGGTCGTATATTCTATACGTGCAAACCTAGCGAAATAAAGAGAGAGAGAGAGAGAGAGAGAGAGAGAGAGAGAGAGAAACGATGGACGTCGGCTTTTCTATTCTCGGTCACCCTCCAACTAGATTGGTCCCAAATTCGGACAGGTTGCTACCAAAATATGTACATATATATCTGTCCTTCCTCTGACAAGTAAAGCGTCGATATCACGAGCAGGTCTTCTCGAAGAACCCTTCGAGGCGGTTGCGATCTTACGCAGTACGCTTTGTCACCGGTACTTTTAAAAGGCTAGAAAGAAAAGGCGTTAACGTGTCCGTTAATTTATAGACTATACTGACGAGAATCCTCTTCTCACCCCTTCCTCTCTCTCTCTCTCTCTCTCTCTCTCTCTCTCTCTCTCTCTATTTATCTGTCTGTTTATGACGATTATCATATTTTATACGTTTCAAAAGACACTTTTTAACTTTCGTCGAATGGACAAACTTAAAACAGATGCTACCCTTGTTAGAGAACTATATCGAAGAGAATTTACGGATAATCCTTGATACCTATATCCTAGGATTCGTATAATTTACTTAACGGGCCTTTCAAAATGGAAAATTACACGGTAGGAGCGAAGAGCAATGAAAGGTGTGACTCCAACGATCGTAGAAGTAAGTACGAGTTTCCTCGAGTTCACGAGCGTGTTATATGTATTTCGACGGAACGTTTAACTAGTCGATATATGTGGTGGTCGTCGTAGTTGAGCCGGCCCATTCGAATAAATCTGTATAATTATTACGGCACACCTTGTCTAGGTGTGCGCATGTGTACGGTACGTATACCGTGTGGCTCAGCCGATGGGAGGTAGCCCCATCGGAAGGAAGCTGGTTTGTTTTTTTGTTCCGCCGCCTCTCGAGGCGAGGAGCACCCCATCGCCTCACCTTTGAAACACCTGGCTATTACCGCGAGATCTTCTCTGTGTGAGTGCCTGTCTACGCTCGCGCCACATGCGTAGTTGCCACCATATGCGAGCGGCCCCACTGGGACTAGCTTTACGGACCCATTTTCGGGGCCTCGTAGATCCCTAGACATGTGTAAGGTACCCCTCTCTTTTGGGGGGAGAGAGAGAGAAAAGCAGGGTGCCTCCCCTCTTCTCTCTTGCCTCCGGATCGTTCTCTTTTCTCGTCGCTACGTACGACGACGAATCAAATGTTTTTTTTCGACTCACAAATGTTTACAAATTATTTACTATCTATTTGGAATAATACCGACATATCACGTATGTATGTATATTTAGAAATAAAAAAAAAAGAAAAAAAAAACAACGCATGAAAATCGCATAAATCAACGGAGCTCTTTATCGTAATCTAAATTATCTATCGATAGTTTTAAATCCATTTCAAAGTTGAGTCCATATACAAGTACCTAGTGACGTCACATATTTTTGTCGGTACGTATACCGATTTCTTCGCTATGTGTCATTGTTTTTCGTTTTCTATCGGATTAATAATGACCTTCGGTCAATGGGACAAGAATTTATAATGCTTTTTGTCAAATTATTTGAAAGGTCTTGATAATAATAGACAATAATATATTTTTTTGATAATTATATTATTATTCTGCAAGTAATGCGTAATTGAAAGTTTGTACAATAGTTCAATCGCAATAAATGTAAAAATACAATAACAACTTTCCCGTAAATTTTCCCAAATATGCCGCAAAGATTCTATTGACGGACGATTCGTTTCATCTATCTTATCGTTTCTTATCTTTCACTATTATTATTTTACTCATCGCATATATATATATATATATATATATATATATATATATGCATATTGTTATGGTCCGACAATGAGATGTGTCACTCGTTTCATTTACTAAGAAACTTTACTTTCTTATTTAGTTTTCCAAAGATCTCGGATAGTATATCAGCAATTACGTACTTGCATGCATAAAAAAGATAAGCAATTATTTACATTACTTTTTGATTATATTCTCGTAATGTTAATAGAAAATTTGACCTATGATTTATATTATCATCGTTATGTATACGCGTCCACTCCTTTTCTCATCTCAGAACGTTTATAAGGTTATTAACGACTCGAATAATCAGGTTCCAAACAATATATTCGAATAAGACGACACGACAGTAAATGGTGCTTACTTCCCAAGAACCCAAAGACCCTTTGTCCCGCATCATGTACCTGGCCTACGAATCTTTCTACCAGCACGTGAACCCATGTGGCATTCTTCTTCAAGAGCTCTTCCATCGTTTATTTTTTTACCAATTCTTTTTCCCCCACCATATCGTAACGAAAGAATACATTGTTCGACTGGTTTAACGTGACTGATTTGATCTAAATGAAATAAATAGCAGGTATGTTTCAAATTTTCTTAGATCTCGTCTCGTTGTCGTTACGTTTATCAATAATTACGAACGACAAAGAATTCGTCGAGTTTTGACTTTGCAAATAATATGTAGAATTATAGTAATCCCGAGGAAAAGAACAAAAAAAAAAAAAGAAAACGATGATTGAACCGGACATTCATTCAAAGACGTTCAATAGAAAAAGGTCGTCGCGAGGAGACCACAGAGAATATCCATGACGAATTACGAGAAAACTCCTTTGCAGGGGTTCCAAAGTATCTATACCTTTCCTAACCAAAAGGTTTTCTTAAAGACTCTTTAAAACGCATTTTCTGATCCACTCGAATCCTTCGCCATTCATAGTGGTGAAACGGATACGGCTAGGTTGTACAGGTGTGCGATTCTTGAGGTGCCGAAAGTTCTTACCACATTTTACATTAAGGTCAGTACCACGTAGAATAAACGAGCTCATTCATAATCACACAGCATCATTTCACGTTCGAAAGATTACAAAAACGTTTTTCCCTTGAGACTTTGAGTTCTTCCTGGCATTGCGTCATTGCGATATGCAATGATTGCAGATGCACTTGTACGTATACTTGTACTTTGTTTAAAAATGAAAGCATCACAAAATTGTCGATCCCTCGAGAAGTAACAGAGTTTCTCATTTTGAAAGGAGAAAAAAATGGAAAGTTTGACGATTAAGAAAGATAGGTCACGTGGAACGATCGAGAACCTCTGTGCACGCCCTCTCACAATGCACGCTATTTCGTAGATCGTGAATGAGACTGGTGCGCCGGAGTTTTTCCTCTTTTTTCATATAACAATGAATGGCCGCTGCGGCGCGTAAGGTCTCTCCCTATTGTACGAAAATCTCAAAGAATCACTGCTTCTTCTCTCGAGTCCGCTCTCGCTCTCGGTCAGAGAGACGTGGTATATACTTGCCCTTTGTCCCTGCGAGACCTGCTCCTTGCTTCTACCGCCTTTGCCATCCCCGTTGTAATTTTTTCCAAAGTAACGCCGCTCGCGTTCTAACCAACTTCTTCTCCGCGACTCTATCTCTTGTATTCCTACGAATGTTAAGGCGCACGACGTAGAAATGACGATGGTTGCTCGACTGGACGATAATTTGTCCAGACTGGTTTCCGTGCATGGCGAGGATTTAATAAAAATCTCATTACTATGCCAAAAATGTGTGTATTTTAAGTTCAGACACGTTTCGAGTCGAAGGGTCGTTTTATACCCTTTCCTTGCGTGCACCGTGCAGAAAGTTCGAGTTGCTATATAAGTTGTTATACAGCGTAAGGGCTGAAATCGACACTGAACTCGTATAACCTGTTGAGCGAAGAGAAACGTAAAATAGAGAGAAATAAATACTGGTCGTACGAGTAGACATGCAATACGAGTCTACCGATTTACAAGAAATATCGATTTCTCCTTTCGAGTCTCCCTCGGGCAAGCTCGAACCTGCCGCGATGCGTTTCTGCCAGCACGGCGAAAGAGCTTTCTCGAAAGGGAAACGACGAGGATGGGAGCGGCGCCCCGTTCACCTGAGAACACCAGGTCGAAACCTGGAAAAATCGTTGAAAAAAGTATCTCGAGGGATATAAGAGGGATATATACACAATTTCGAGAAGCAACGTATGCGAATACACCGCCTAGCGGACGGTGGTAACATCTGTCTGGGATCGACGACAGCTGATACACCCTCTTTCTTTCTCTTCGAAGTCTCGTGCCTCCAGCAACTTTTCATTTTTCGAGAAAACGTTCACGGAGCTTCCTTGCTTCTTGAATTTAGTTTCGAACGGACGTTTCGCTAGGATCATAGGGTGTATTATTAAACCGGAAAATCAAATGTTTCGCTTCTCTTTCGAATCTCCGTTCGATCGCGTAACACCGATTCTCCGAGGCTAAGAAATACCTTTATTCATATAATGAATGGAAATTACTTGTGTCAGTTTGAATCTTTCTTTTACTTTTCTTACATAGTTTTTATTTTCTTTGTTTATTCTCTTTGCAAAATACGATGATATCTTTGAAAATTCGTAGACCATTGAAAAATCTTTATATAAATACGATTAAGAATATCGCAGTTTGTTCCTTTTTCCGAGAAAACGAGAGCATATGGTCAGTTCGTCGAACGATTTTCCTATCGTGGTATGACGCGTGCCCAACAGGGGGTTGCTTTATAGAGGCGGGCAGGTGACGAGATGGACCAGATGACCGAAGCTCTACTAAATTTCGATCTTCTAAATATCCCTACCTACCATAGCATACTTTTCTACGGTGCGAAAGGTCTGCGTCGTTTCTTTTTCTTTTTCTTTTCTCTTTCTTTCTTTTCTTTTTTTTTTTTTTTCTTTCTTTTGATGAGTCTGCCGAAATCTATCTACGATAAGGAAATCCTATCTCCGACCGTTGTAATCCTTTAGAAATATGACTCTCCACCTTTAAAAGAATATAAAATGGAAAACTTGTAAAATTGATTACGCGAGAAGAATGGAATTTAGATATGCTCGAAGAAAGACTCATTTATCGTTTTCTCTCGCCTTATTTGTCGTTGGCGATTACGGAGATAAAAAAACGTCCGTCCCATCGTAAACTTGTTCGCTCGAGCGTATCGTGTCCTTCATCGATGAGAAGTAAGCGTCACGCCCAAAGTCCACGTTCTCGTTCGGACGATATTAGTTTCGACGTTTCCTCGACGAGCACAGGGCCCGTTTATAGAATCGGTTCGGCGTTATAATGACATCACGAGACGTGTCACCGGGCGCGAGAGCGTGCGAACGCGATAAGATCTCTCAGGACGACCACCGGACAAGAAGCTCTTATCTGATCGGCCATTACGGGGAGACGCTAAGCGCGCCCTATGAATCACAACCCCTCTGACTTTTATATTTTCGGGATGTGACTTGGTTTCTTTTTCGGTCACGAACGAAAACAAACGAAAACCAGGAGTTCCTGCCGATTCGAAGCAAGATTTCTACGAGACCTCACGCGTTCTTCTATAAAAAAAAAACTTGAAGTTCAACAATGATCTACAAATTGTTTCAAAGCATTTACGATCGCTATCAAATTCTTCCATATTACTATATATATATATATATATATTATATATCGAACGAACGATCAGGGAAAACTAGCGTGACGTTTATCTATTCTTGATTTTACAAGTATACGAAATCCAAACGATAATATCCTTATCTGAACGAATAGACGAAGCGAATGCCTGCGATTCCAACCCTATCGCTTATTGCCGCACGGCGTACCGTCCATGCTCGAACAATCTTTCCCTTGTCCTGAGACTCGCTACCTCGAGTTTCTTCCAACTACGCTGTCGTCGTCGTCGTCGTCGTCGTCGTTGTCGTCGATGTCGTTCGATGAACGAAGGAGCTTGCTTAATTAAATTAATTTCAATTGAGCTCTTGTATCGAGTCGAATAGACTTTCACTCTTGCGACAGACAGACCGAGCAGCTATCTCAATCCGATACAGGTCCGAACCAAGCACGGCGTACTACTTGATAACAATGCCGAAGACGCCCTGGGGCCATTTTGCGGCTGTGTCCAGAGCCAGAAAACTTTTCGTCCCGCGTGAACACGCTCATACGTACCATAAGTATAAGTATCTATATTCAACAAGTATACCACTAGCCAACTCCGTTACGCGTCGCGCTTCGAAATTTCAACGATTTATCGGTTGGGAATTGGAACGAGACTAATACGCCACCCGTTGGTCCGCCCGTAATTTCTTATCGTTTATTTTTCTGTCGGGATGATTTGTTACGCGAAATGAGATCTCCGTTGCAGGCAACGAGAACACGACGTCGGGTTACTTTTTCTTTCCTAAAGTCTATACCATTTACGATACTTTTATCGTTTTTTTCTGCGATTACGGCAAGGATTATTATAATTGGAATGGAAATATCAAAGTGCTTCGTCGAATCGTTAAAAAAGACGTGCCACGCGATAACTCGCGATAAGATCTCTCGCGTCTCATCGAGACGTGCCGATGACCGAGCGAAATTCGTTTCATCTTTGAGATCGTTCGCGTCGAACCTGCAAGCTTGCTCGCTCGATCGCGAGATATGCCCGTGTTCTACCCCCAAGAAGGAAAGAGGAAAAGGGGGAATAAAGAGAGCAAGAGCGAGCGAGCGAGCTAGAGAGAGAGAGAGAGAGAGAGAGAGAAAGGGATGGAAGAAAAAAGTCCTCGAGCAGGCCGTTTAGGGTTGAACGACCCTGGGCAGCAGCGCGTTTTTCGCTCGTCGTCGTGTTAGCACGATGCCGACGAAGCTTACGGGTGCGTTCATAATCAGCGTCGACAAGGCGTACACGCATCTCGTCGGCGGTACAATGAGTCGTTCCTCTTCGAGCGAAGGAGAGGAAGAGAGAAGGTAGAGAAGAAGGAAACCGGACCTGTTGCCGATTCAGGGACGTCTTCACGGCGTTGGAAGTCTCGACTAATGTCGAGAAAAGAAAAGACGACGGAATCTCCTCTCCTTTTCTCTTATTCTCTCGCTCCCTTACGAATCCGTTTCTTAAAGAAGTAGAGGAAGAAGTAGAAGAAGAAGAAGAAGAATCGGAGTGCACGAGGAAACCATTTTCTCACATGATCGCGGCTCTAAGACGATCTCTGACCGGTCGAGCACGTTCGGGACCGATTCAGCTCGCTCGTCGTTGTTCACGGAGAAAAATTTCGAGATAAAAGGGGGGCGGAGAGGGCGAGTACGAGAAGAAGAGGGTGAGGAGGAGAGAAACCGGGTTTTAAACTCTTTCCTGTCTATCCACAAGACGATCGCACGAGACTACGTACAAAGGAAGTGCCGGACGTGCTACCGTCGACGCGAGTATCGTTTCGATTGTTTGTAAGGAAAACAGATTTTAGTTCCTCTAAAAGCCTTACTGAAAGGAGTTCGAATGCTTTCTCGCGCTTTGATGACGCCGCGTATTCCTTGTTCTTAAATGAACAAATCCTTTTCGAAATAGAAAAAGAATATCTCTTTTGAAATCCATATCTTTTTCTTTAGGATTAATGCAATATAAATAATTTGCAATATAAATATTTAACGGTTATATATATATATATATATATATATATATATATATATATATATTACGATTATAATTCCATAAGATTAACGGGAAGAGAAATCTCCGAGCTTTCTTTCATCGATAATAAAGATGTGCGAGCTTCCTTCGAGAAATAATAATAATAATAATAATAATAATAATAATAATAATAATAATAATAATAATAATAATAATAAAAAAGCACTCAATTCCAAACCGGCCGATCCCGTATCCACGAATCTATCTATCTCTTCAGCCTGCTCAACAAAATGGAGCATCGGGCGTACCCATGCCGCGGTTAATATTTTATCGCGCGAGGCGAAGCAACACTTATCTCCTCGATTCGAGCGCGGCCTCGGTAGAAAGTAAATCTCCGACGGGTCGGTCCGTACCACGAAGAGGAAAGAGGGAGCATGATGAAGAATAAGAAGAAATGGAAACGGAGAAGAAAGAGGAGAAGAAGAAGATGGAGGAGGAGAAGGAGAAGGAGGAGGAAAAGAAGAAGAAGAAGAAGAAGAAGAAGACGAAGAAGAGTACGACAACGACGAAGGGCCGCTCGCGCTCGCTAGCGAGCATAAACATCCTTACGTATACGACCTGGAATTCTCGTTTGATTTACTGCCGCCATCTCGACGCATTAGTCTTTGGTCCCCCGGGGGCCGATATCATCTGCTTTAAAAAATGCTGCCGTCAACGCGGCCCGCCAACTACCGTGCTACCCATCCTCTCTCCGCGGATCGTCCGTCGCTGTTCCGCACCGTTTATGGGCTATCTCTCTCTCTCTCTCTCTCTCTCTCTCTCTCTCTCTCTTTCTCTCTCTCTCATTCCCTATCTATCCATCTATCTCTCTTGCTCTCCAACGTTGCACTTTCTTCTTTCTTATTTTCCCTTTTCTCGCTTCTATCGTTCCTCGTGCGTGTGTCGTTCTCCTCATACTCTCAGTGCATCTATCTATTCACCTTCTTTTCCTCCACCTCCGTTCTCTGCTCTCTTCAAGAGAGATAGCCCAATGGCCCCAAAGGGGCGACCTCGACAGGTAGCAAAACGCGCTGCACTTCTTATTCTCTCTCTCTCTCTCTCTCTCGGTACCATTGGAGTTATTGGCTTCTTATCAAACGACATGCAAAGGATCGTACGATATGACGATGTCGGACGGTTCTCCGATTCGTTTGAATATTCGCGAACAACCACGCCGCGGTCTTGTTACGAGTGAAGAGAGTAGTTTGGGTTTAAAATAAGCTCGACGATGCGTCGGACTCGTGTGCACACGATATCTTTTCTTCTTAATGTTGTTCACTTTGAAATCGATTCAACTTCTCAACGTCGAAATATATGACTTCGCGACATTTCGAAAGAGAGGGATAAATAATTGTCGCAAGATTTTTCATTTCAAATGGATATCACGCTCGATGCAAATTCACAGAGAGATATTAGAAGCTCCTTGAGAGAAGAAACGGCAGGAAAAAATGAAGGGAAAACGTGTTACGCTTTATTACCTGGAGCGTCTTTGCGCTCTCTCTTTCTTCCTCTTTCTCTCAGCGATACGTCCGAAAACGAAATTAGTGCGTGAGCTCGCGGATGGGTAGCTGGTGCACCCTACTGCTCTCTGCCGGTCGGTGGTCCCTGCCGGGAATACATTAAATAAATAATCTCGATCCTCCTCTACCGATATAACGTGACTGCTTAGAACACCGGTGAGAAGCTACTACCGGACCTCCTCCTTACGCAACTGTCGGCCGCTCGTTTTAATTAATTAGCATCATGGTTTAAAAGACGAGTCCCATCATCCGCTCCTTCCTTCCTTCTTCTTCTTCTCCTCCTCCTCCTCTTCCTCCTCCTCCGCCGCCGCCGCCACCGCCGCCGCCGCCGCCTTCCTATGCCTCTCTCGCGTTCAGATTATCCGAGACGACTTTCATGTGCATGCTCGAGTAGCGCATGCTACTACTAGACACGGACATTAGTTATACGCTACGCGTATCTCGCCTGCTTTATATCCTGGAATACTTATCGGAAATTCATATGTTAATACGTTTATGCATTCGGTGCATGGAGAGACTCGTTTAAACTTTGCTCTCTCCCTATTTTCGACGTCCAAACACGTTCGACTTACGATCGGAAACGATTCGTAATTTTAAAGTACGACTAGTATACGATTTTATGAATTTTTACTCGCGTGCAGTCCCGATAAGGAAAGCGAGTTACGATTCGTTCGAACTCGAAAATATACAAGGTGTTAATGAATTATAATATCTTCGGAATAGTCTGAAAAATCTCTAAAGATCCGATATATATGTATATAGTTGTTAGGAGCGATATCGTTCGCAAAGAATCCTTTGCAAGAATATCGATGGAGATAGAGCATGGTGATCGCCGCCACGATAAAAGAAAAGTCTCGACGAGTTTCGAGCTCGTGTTTGGGCGAGTGGGTGCGATGGCGTATGGCGATTGGAGCAGCGCGATTCCTCTAATCATTCCCCCAGCTATTAGGGTCACACTTTCTCCAAGCGCACGAGAGACAATGGCCGGGAGTTCGATCATGCGAGTGCGCGCAAGTTGCGTACGTGCGTGCGACCACGGGTGAAATTGTTATTGCGAAAATCGGACGATGAAAAAAAGAAAGAAAAATAAAAAACCGTCGAGAAGGCCCAAGAGTAGTGACTAACGGGTCCCGCCATCGCGGAGATTCGAATCAGAAAGAGAGAAAGGCAAATTAATAGGTGGATTGAAAAAGGGAAAGGGTCCACGAGATACGAAAGATTCTTGCACGTTACGTCACGATTGCATGATCTTATAAAAGAAAAATATCCTTTAAATTATTAAATATATACGTATATATATATATATATATATATCCAATAAATTCGAAACTGTAGAAACGATATCTGCAAAAATCAATGTATATATATAATACGAGTTACTCCGAGTTACGTAATTTCTTTCACCGAGATCATGATAGATCTATCGACTTGACGCTCGCGTTCGATCGTTCAAAGTTCTAGTCGCGAGCGTAAACACACGTGCGTAGGAGAGCGGAGAAGCGTTCGAAGGAGGAGGAAAAGGAGGAGGAGGAGGAGGAGGAAGGAGTCTGAACCGCTCTCTTCGCCGCTTGGGACAGTGCGGCGCCGTAAGTGAGTGGTTATAGCGAGATAAGTGCTAGAACAGAGAGAGAGAGAGAGAGAGAGAGAGAGAGAGAGAGAGAGACTCGGGGACACCCTGGAATGCGTTCTTAATGAACCCACCGTGTCTGCCACTTGCCAACTAACGCGACACCGTGTGTACACAATGCTCGTGGGACTGTCGCCTTGATCGTTTACTTACTCGTGCTTCTCTTTGTCATCGACCGCCCTTCCCCGTCCTTTCTCTCTTGGGATTATTAATCGCCCCGATGCAATTTGGTCCCACGATCTGCGACGCTTTATATCGAACGTTTTTCGTTCGTTCGTGTTTATATTCTTCTCGAGTTAACGCTACGACACAACGATTGTATATCTAATACTCGATAAACCGTACTAGGACGATCGAAAGACGGACAGTTTGTTTTGATTTCACTTTCCAAATCCCTCGTCCCGATCTTTCTCATTCAATTTACATATATATATATATATGTATGTGTGTATGTATGTATGTGTGTATGTATGTATGTATGTGAGTAACGTTGATTACAAGGATCAAACTTACATAAATAGTTTAGTCGATAAAGAATTCCTAAGCGATTTCTACGATACCGTTATCGCTTTGTTGGGTCTACGCAAGGAGAAACGCAAGGAAGGGAAGTCGGATAGGAAACGAAAGTATCACGAATGATTTGTACGAAAGACCGATCGATCTATCGATCGATTCGCAAACTGAGTTTCAGGTCGATCGAGGTGCGAGCCTACAATTATATTCTCCTTATCGATACTCATACGTCTGTGTATCTACCAATCAAGGAGAGAAGAGAAATGGAAGGATATCGGTCGGCCGATTAGTCGTAGTACGAGTTATTATTGACTCGTTGTTATTGGCGGTGCGCGTGCAGTCGAGATAAATCTTGCACGATTATTGCCAGTGACCGACGTTGCATCAGACGGCGAAAATTATGTTTCGCCGAAACGTATAGCGTTAAACCTGTTGTCTTTGATCGTTCCACAGGCTGATCACAAAGTCGACGAATATTTTCTACGTTACGTGGAGACCCATCGACGACCACGCGTTTCCGCACCCAACATAACAGCGGATCAAATCGGAGAAATTATTAAACGACTCCTCGATAACGCTTTGTATTTGCTACGTTAAATATATCGAGAAGTAATTGTGTAATTATCGAAGCATTTTTTAGATTAGATATATTTCAAAAAATCACTTAATTAAAAAGATAAAGATATCGCACGATATTAATACAGCTATGTTTCTACTTTTTCCTCCACGGCCGGTTCTTGTTCGATGATTTATTTAATAAACTCAACGAAGCGTTGAAAGAGAGTGAAATCTCGGAGGGTCGAGTTTCGTCGTTTAATTACGAGCACTCGCGATCAGGTGAAGTTACGTCGCACGTGCGCACGCTTAGAAAAGAAAGAGGGAAAGAGAGCCGGCGAGTCTGGACGAGCCGGCGCCTCGTATCGTTGGCCTACGGCGATATTGCAAGAAAATTCACGTAATTTACGGGCGACAATGCGCCCGGTTCCACCTCATTGAAGCGCGATCCGAATGCTGAACCTCTAATCGCCGTCTTATCTCTCTCTCTCTCTCTCTCTCTCTCTTTTGTGTGTGCGCGCGCACGTGCTCACGCCAACGAGTGTCCACTCTTTGGGTGCCCCGTTGTTGCTCGCCTCGAGTCTATTCGAGAGAGGTAAGCTTTCTTGAATTCCGCGGTACCGGCGCTCCTAATTGCCTGGACACTCTCTCGCGCTAACTTTGGTTAGCTTATACTCGCTGACACGCCAAACTATGGCACTGTGTCACGCGAGAGAACGTGAAATTTACGTGTACGTAGGTACTTACGTACTCTCCTCCTCCTCCTCCTTCTGTCTCGTGGTCTCGTTCAGCTGTCACGGTAGCTATCTCGAAAACACACACCGTACGCTCGCGTAAACTATCGGCCAGACGCAAATCGGCCAATCTGTTAAATCGTTTTTAAAGGGGCCTTTAGAAAGACCTAAAGGATAACGTAACGTGTCGTAGTAAAATCGCGATTGCCTTCCGAAATGCTACTGCCAACGATATCGCTCCCGTTCTCCGTGGCTTTTCAGCTCCTAGATCTTGCTTAAACTCTCTTACGAAAGCTTCTTAGAAGATTGTAAATGCGATAGACTACGAGTTCCGTTTTCTGCTTCTCACGTGTTCTCTTCTTTTTTCTTTTTCCTTTTTTCTTCCTCGTCGATCCTTTGAACGAGAACATTTGACGAGCCTTTCTTTGCGGTGGATATCCTAAAAGATATAAGGATATTTTAAACCGTGAAATCAAAAACAACGCCGGCTTTCCGGTGCACGCTCGTTTAACGAGGCCAAACAAATTCTGCTCGCGAGTCAAATCGCCGATTCTTCCAGTCACATCCGTCCATTGCTCCTTCTAATGCGGAGGAAAGGAGGAGAGAGAGAGAGAGAGAGAGAGAGGGAGAGAGAGAGAGAGAATAGGCGCCGTCCCTTCTGGGCAGCACGACGATCGACGGCGCGACCGATCAATTAACGCGCCATTGAATCGTATAAGACGATGATCGTTTGGAAAAGTTCCCGACACCTGGCCACCAACACCCACGGCTATGCCGCGAGCAGATGCACTCGTAACCTTACTCCTTTCTTCTTTATTGTGATTTTACCGACCCTATACATCAGGCACAATATGGAAAAGTATTATTAAGGATACGTTAAATCGATATTATTCTTCTTGGAAGTAAAAATCATTTCTATCGTTTGAAAATTGGAAAAAACTAAAAAACAATTTAATTTGCCGTAAGATTTTTTCGTAAGAGTAATGCGTGCACGGATTATCGTATACGTTTTTCACACGTCTAACGGTCTTTCGAAGGGACCAGCCTCAACCTGTCTAAGCCTCAACGGTCATTCCCACAGTCACCTGTGCCTGCGAAGACACTCACTGGCCCATTATAACGACCCCTAATGCGCGTTATCCCTTCAACTTTTCTCCCAGTCTCTCACCTTTTTCCGCTTTGCGTTTCCGACCGGTCCTTGTCTCGTCTTAGGCTTCTTCCAGCACCCTTCCTCTCTCTCTCTCTTCCTCTCTTTTAGCTCTTAGCGACGACGATGATACCTCTCATCTCGCTGCGACGCCTCGCTCGCGGAAGACAAAGAAGTGTCCCGCGGTCGTGGTTGTCGTTGTCGAGCTTGAAATGTAAATTTCAAAGGGTAAAAGGGAACAGTGACACGTTCTTCCGAGGGATGGTGAAAGCTAAAAACGAAGATGACTGTGTCGGTAGGAACGTCAACAAAGTAGAGAAAAGAATAGATGGAAAAGGAGGGAAGGTCTGCGTGAGCCGAGAACCAATGTTGCACTACCCAATCACGGGACCAACTTCATTTTGTCACTAGCCGGATATGCAGAGAAACGGCCGAAGTAGAAGAAGCAGAAGAAGAAGAAGAAGAAGAAGTCGGCATGGTAGAGTAGCAACCGTCGCGTCTAGTTCTCGAGCCAGACCAGTCTTCCTCCCGTTTCTACGAAGCAACCAACCAGTTCTTTGTACCACGATATGCAACCGAGTTGCGCGTCGACGAGAGAGCGAGAGAGTGAGTGAGAGGGAGGGATAAAGGGAGAGAGAGAGAGAGAGAGAGAGAGAGCGACGACGTAAAAACAAGAAAGAGCTGCCGAGTTCTCCCTGAGTTTCGTGTGAAATCTTTGTTTGCCTTGCCATCCGTCTACCAAGTATTAGCATATTTCCGCGTTCACGCTCACGGTCCTTCCTTTGATTTATATTTCCAAGCTGATTAATACGAAGAGGAGTAATGTATTATTAAAAAGAATCTAACGGTGCGACGTACTTGGAAGGATATGGCTTTGATCTATCGAATTCTTTTTGCTATTTTTATTTTTCATTTATTTAAACGACCAAGAAGATGGGACAATTTCCTCAATTTCTTCGACTTTACTCGCGAAACATATTACGTACTCGTCAAATTCTCAATGGCATTATTAAGACGCGCCTCGTGTATCAGTCCGGTTGACCGACGTTTCTCATGAAAGACCAACGTCCTATCTAATGCCAACGATCCATCATCTTCCTTTGGCGGAGCGCTCCTGGTACCGACCTCGGTTATGCCAAGAGACCGTTCTAAATAACGTAATGCCGTTTCCTTCGTGATTCTTCGTAAACGAGATCGAACGTGTTCGCGAACAAACGGAGCTTAATTAATCGGAGCGGACGATCACCGCTCTGTTTTCGATAGATCGAGTCTATTATTCTGAGTATCAGAATGATATAACAGATAAAATGCTTTTATCTGATCCAAATCCTCGATCTTTTTCTCTCGTCATATTCTAAAGGAAACGATAAAATACATTTTACGAAATTGATCCTCTTTGTTAGATCGAATACTTGGATAGAGAGAAAAAAAAGAATAAAGTTGGCCTGATACTTCATTTTTCAAATATTTCCTGGCGCGTGCACGCGCTGAACGAGAATATCGCGAGGCATGAAAAAATATCATAAAAGTGGGTTCAACGTCCTCCGAAAGCATCGAGTTCCGGGAGTTAGGATCGTGACAAAGAGAGCGTGATCGAGGAAGCCGTTGGAGAAAAATTGGGCCGTCGTAAAGGACTAAACTCGCGCAAACAAGGCTCGTTTATTGGAATCGCCGATCTCGTTCGAGCACGTTTCGTCGTTTTACAGTGATGCCTTTATATACCTTTCTTCGTCGATAGGGCTGCAGAACAGTAGTATTTTTGTCGAGGTTTCGAGCACATGCCGCGCGATAAAAGTCTCACGAGCGTCAAACGCGACTGTGCGTTATCGAACCTGATCGATAAATACCGAAGCTGTCATTCCCGTGAATTATTCGCTCGTCACGTATGGTCGTGCACCAGTGCACTTCGACAAAATATCGAAACGTTGATGATTCGAAACGATTATCGACACCTTTTATAATGAATACTTTTCTAACAAGATTCGATTATCTTCAACGGACGTTTGAGAATTGTACCATTTCGCAAGGGTCGATAAACGTATGTAAATTGCTCGATAATTCGAGTTTTTAGAAGTTCTACAGGGGAACCGTCTAATTTGCAAGGATTCCGAAAATTTCGCTGCTGGAATCGGCGAATTCTAACGATCTTGGAATTTGTATAAATATATATATATATATATATATATATATATATATATATCGATTTGAATTCTAATGCGCCACCGAAGAAAACCACGTCGATGAAGAGCCCTCTGTCCGGGCAGGGTCATTAGAGAACTTAAATATACGATGGTGGGTCATAAAATGGACCGAAGTAAATATTAAGTCTGCGGTTTTACGGTTAATGCCAATGTTAGCACGAGCGCACGTGTATTTTATCCGTACCAGACGGAGATTAGGATCAACATTTTTGGAGCCATCGACGACGAAACATCGTAGCGCGTTTCTCTCTCTCTCTCTCTCTCTCTCTCTCTCTCTTTATCTCTATCCCTCTCCTCTTTTAAACGCTTTATCCTGTTTCTTGCCAAACGAGGTACGCCGACCGGTAGAGAGACCAACGATGAGCCGGGATTAATGCGCTCAATCTTGCGGTTAGAGAACAAACAGCGAGAGGAAAGGTGAGAAGATAGCTGGTTGCGGTTGAAATCACAAAGAGGAGGGTAGTAAACCTTGCGGTTTTAGCTAGCATCTTTGAATGTACGTATCGATGACACTGGAATCGATCGATTCGTATGTTCTTACTGCTTCTTCTTGTTTTTTTTTCATTTTTTTTTCTTTTTTTTTTTTTTTTTAATACCTATATTAAACGAGTTTCAATGAACAAGACAAAGGACATTCGATTGCAATCGATTTATCAGCGATATAAGTAGAATTGTTTCACCTTACGGAACTGTCAGTTGGAATGAATAGACGTTATGCATAAAAGTAACAAATCGATATTCATCTAAACGATGCAAATTTTTATCTCGCTAGAGATCAATACGAAAAAATCATTTCTCGCTAGAGCATATTGTCTCGTGGAAACAATGGACGAAGTGAGACAGAAAGGCGTTCGATAAAATGGGGTCTTTGAAAATTGGAATCGGTAAGTCAGGTTCGTTCCGCGATCGGATAGTTGCGAGTACCTCCAGAGACAGTGCTATCGAAAGTCCGATCGTTTAATACACGCATTAGTTAAATGGTCGAAACCGGTTATTAGAAACATTGAGCTATTATACACAGTGGCATATCTTTACACCGAGCGTCTAGCGCGAGGCGAGGATTATAGATTTTTTTCAATGACGAAACCGCAATATACATCATACGAGGGCCGCGCGTAATAATAGTCCGTATTATCGCGTTTAATCTGCTTGACGTTAAAATTCCCAGGCATTGGTTTCTAACGATATTCGATGCCCCTTCGCGCCTCGGCCGCGAGACGGTTCCCTATTGCCGCGTCACCAAGCTCGTAAATAAGCCGTAGTATAAAACGTGTTAAACGTTCATCGATACTCTACTTTTCTTTTTTTTCTTTTTTCTTTTAATTTATCCCGCGGATTAAGATCGTTATCGACGCGACTATGACTAATTTGTCCCGACCCCGATCGTAAATTTAGTTTTTCAATATCTTTGAAGATTGATATTTGTAATTATACTTAGAAGAATGAGAGAATAGGACGGTATCGAAAGAGGCGTCGCATTGGGAAGCGTTCGCAGGAAACTCCCTTCCTTCGCCTTATCTCACGTTCACCGATATCCGAACGATGCTTGCTCGATATCGCTAAGAGATAAAGATTCCGACGCACGTTACGTGTATGCACAAAGTTTCCCTCGCATTATCTATGCCGATTCTCATGGGATCCGCTCTATATTTACAAATGCCACAAGGTGTGCTGTCGCTATATGCGCGATCCTCACCGACGCGTCACCTACTTTGTCACCTGCCAAATTGGCAAATAACGCTATCTCCGATCATATCGACGGCAACGTAGAAGCACCGTTACCGTTCGACGAAACATCTATCGCTACTATTCGAAAATAATGCTGATTTTATTATAACTGTAACGTGACAATTTTTTTATTACTTTTTATCAACAGACAAAGAGGAAAATACGATTTTGTCCAAACTCGTTGACTTTTACACTTTGTACTTGATTTTCGCTTTTGGACGCGTCAATCTCTGTCGCTTGACGGGAACACGTTTTTCGGCCGTCGTATTTGTCAATGAGTCCTCCGACCTGTTGTATGACGCTGTTTATCACAAACCGGTTTTGTTTGTTCGTTATCACGGCTTTCACCCTCGAGCACGTACAACGGGACGTGCTCTCTACGTAAAACCATCCATGATATTTTTATCGTATCCGTTTGTCGTGCTTTCGGATTAGTCCTTGTTTAGAGACGATACGAGCGAGATCTCGGGATAAAGATTCGAGAGCGCAGGTCGGTTTTTCCTTCCTTCCTTCCTTCCTTCCTTCCTTCCTTGCTTTCTTTCTCCCTTTCTCCTCCTTATTCTATCTCAAAGAATTTTTAAGGACACCATCCGCTCTTATCTACGTTACGCGTGTTTACAATATGCGCGCGCCACATTCTTCCAATCGCCTACTTTTTTTTCCAATACGTATTGATCGCCACAATTGACTTTAACAATGATTGGCTCATAGACAATTGTATTAGAGTTAGAATTTTTCGCAGGAAATGCGTATGGTTCGTGACTAAGGGCATAAGGTGTGGAGAAGGAGGAGAAAAAGGAGGGTCAAAGCGCCTTTAAAACCGATTACGAAACCGGTCTTTAGTCTCACAATCGTAGCTCGACACCGCGAGCGAAACGTTGGAACGTCGAGAGGACCGTGATGGAGAAGCCCTTCGAGGCAGTCAAGGTGCCAGTTACGTCGGTGTCAATTAGGCTCAACGCTCGGGGGCGTGATCGACCGTAAAAAAGACCGCCATCACTTTGTTGGATCTTGTAAATCAAATCTTATTGATTCTACGTCTCTTTTTTGACCGATTCTTTGTCTACCAAAAATGAGCAACTCTTTTACTTTTTCCCTATTCATTCGTATTAAATACCTCGCTTGTATTTTCTCGAATGGAAAGCCGTGAAACAAAATATCACGTTGGTTATCGATTATTCGGCAAACAAAATGTTTTTATTAAAAAGATCTCACCTACTGCGACGTCGAAGAAATAGAGAGAGAGAGGGAGAGAGAGAGAGAAAGAAAGAAGGGAAGATAGAGTTCACCACCTGCCGGCCCACGCAACGTCTCGGTCAAAATAATCAGGTACCAGTCCAATGGCCATTAGGGTGCATGATACATCGTATTAGCCCGTGGCAAGGAACACGATGCCATTAGGAAGATTGAATCGGTTCGCCTCGTGCGGAGAACGATAAGAAGGGAGAGAGAGAGAGAGAGAGAGAGAGAGAGAGAGCATGTTTATCCGCGTCATGTAAGCATACGTAAGACGGGGGTTGGACCGTCACCCATGGGTGTAACCGCGGACCACGTGGCCTAAGAGCATGTGTTTTTTGGAGTGAGTAGGTACTTTCGTGCCATCTG